AGACCTTGAGTCTTTGTACTGACGTCAGTGCCAGAATGTAGCCAAGTGAGATCTAAAAAAGTGACCCCGTAACACCCTTATAGCCAATAATATGTCAATGTAAACCTAAATTTTATGCCTTTTATGCTGATATTATGCTCTTTGTTTGAAAAACACATTCACAAATAAATTCTTTTTGTCTTCTCTTGCACATTTGACTTCATCAGCTGGTTCTGTAAAACAATCTTTGATAAATATATTTTGAATCTATGATTTGCAGACACGTCAATACTCTTTTAGCTATCTTAGTTAACGTTTAGTAGGAAAAGTTTAGCTGGTGTTTTTTCGTCAGTTTGATTTGAGATTATGTTATTGTATTCTTTATGTGTTATAAAAATCTCCAATACTAATATCTTAAATGCCTGACAAATATTTGTCAATGTCAAAACACAGCTTGTCTTAACTACTCAGGGTTCAGTCTTCTGCATTTTCAAAAATATCTCATTTGATGATGATGTTTAATAGTGTCTGTCTAAACAAATGTGCAGTCACTCCAGTTTGTTTGGCAATATAATAATCTTCTGAACTTCCAATATTAATATACAGCATTACACATATTTTTAAGTAGTAGTTACACATAAACCTTATTGAAGATAACATTTATGACATTTTTCTATACTATATTGATTAAAAGATTGCATTCACATGCATTAGTCATATCAGTGTAAATGTGCACAACAACGCCCATCTCACTGTATTCATGTGAAATTTGTGAAGGAAATAAAAAAAGGCCAATTTTACTGTTGCATAACAGTCTCAGACGATTTAAATAATTAATGATGATTATGTTTTCCTCTTTTCTTTACCATGACTTGATAAAATCAAACATTTCTGAATCACAGTTTTGGGTCATTGCTCGACTTTGTAGTTGTGAGGGGAGATTTGCCCAGAAACACACATGACTACATTTAAGCTGTTAACATAGTTTAAAAGGAAGCAGGGGTTTCTCTCCTGGATCACATTACTTTTCCATTCAGATGAATGTCAGCTTCTTACATCCGTCCCTGTCCTCTTTATTTCTCTTCAGGACACAGCTGGATCAGAACGCTACGAAGCTATGAGCAGAATCTACTACAGAGGAGCCCGAGCGGCCCTAGTCTGCTATGGTAAATCTACTCTTCTGTTCAAAGGTCTTTCAAACTGGAAATCTTATCAGTAAATATGTAATAATACTGTGAATCGTCTTTTTTTAAGACTGACTGGTAGACTCACTTGTCAATGGTTTTAAAGTCTATGTTTTTTTCCATGTTGGGGAACTTTGCCTGTTAGAAAATAGCTGACGTCCATTACTCACACTGTTGTCATACATATAAATGCCCACTTCTTTACCTTCCTTCTTTTGTAAGTTTTATTTCACCAGTATTTGATTTCATCCGGTTTTTTTTAACCACAACTGCACAAACTGATGATTGTGCCTGCTACTCAAGTTATTTAATGTTTGACTAGTCAATTATTAGACAGGTTGTGGATTCCAGTTAACTGATGCTGCACTCATTCTTTGCTGTTAGCAGGGTTTTGTTTATATGCTGTACGTATCTTCTGGGCAATATAAAATACTTTATAGAACAATAAAAGTCTGCTGTTGGTGACTTATAGTTTAGTCATTTTTGATTTTTAGATCTGACTGACAGCAGCAGCTTCCAGCGAGTTCGGTTCTGGGTGAAAGAGCTGCAAAACTGTGAGGAGGTAAGAGAGTTTTTCAGTCTAACTTCAGATTCTTCACATTGAAATGTAAAGGTCCAAGTCTCTTAAGAACATTGTTTTTGTTTTGTGTATTTTATCTCTGTGTGTACCTCAGCACTGTAAAATCTACTTGTGTGGCACTAAGAGTGATCTGATTGAAGGAGACCGGAGCTTGCGCCAAATAGACTACCACGATGCTCAGGACTTTGCTGAAGGTAACCAAGTCTCGACTAAGTTAGCCGCACTGTTAAAAACCTGCTGTCTTTGTTGCCTATTTTTCTTATATAAGGAACAGTGGACAGTGAGAAGTTTACTTGTTAATATAATCTATGGTTGATATGGTGGCCGGTCACTTCTATTCTTTTTCCAACCCAGTTTAGATGAAATCACTCCCATGTCCTTATGTTGAAAACATTGACAGGCCAGCTGAAGCCATTTTAATGAAAAATTAGCAGAAAAATGACATATTTGAAAACTGGAAAGAATTAATTTTTAGTATTGTTGTGTCAAAATGTATGTGAGTGAATAATTGACGAACTAACCTTAATGATTTTGTTGCTTACCCAGAGATCGGTGCACAACACTTTGAGACCTCCAGTAAAACAGGAAATAATGTGGGTGAGTCACAACTTCTGTCATCTGCAGACCACATTTAACACGGATGGTTAGATGCGTCATCAAGCTGTATTTATTCTTTTGTCTGTCTATTGAGGAAGTGGGTTTCCCTCACAATTGTAATATTGAAAACGAACAGTGTTAGCTCTTTATTCACAAGAACAATCCGTAATTAGAATATCTTTTTGAGGATGCATATTTTGGAGACTCTTTCACAATGTCAGCTAAAAATAGTGTAGTTGTTGTGTGCAGCACAGATTTACTGCCAACCAGATCTTTGGAATCTGAGTGGATCAGGTCATAATATGTAAATGAACTGATGGAAACTGAAAGGCCTTATTCTCCCTCTGCTTGTCAGATGAGTTATTCCAGAGGGTTGCTGAGGATTACAACAGTTCGGCCTTCCAGTACATGACAGGTGAGTAATTTATCTAGCTACACCTTTTTTGGGGGGATAAAATACTTAAAAAGTAATTTACAGTTGTTTGTCAAGGGGGTGTGGTGTCGATTTAGAGGCAGCAGAGAGGCCATGCAAAGATTGCAATTTAAATCGGCTATTTTTCCACTGAAGGCCAACATATGCTTGAAACAAGCACAATCACACAAGTGTTTATGGTCATCTCTCTAAAAATTGGTGTAACAGCTCATTGTTAGACAGTCCTTAGCACTAAGTGACAAAATATAAGCACAGGAGTGGAGTTAAATCTCACAAATTCAAATTAGAGTTGTTCTGAAAGGCATGGGAGGATTCAGGTTTTATTAACCAAGTAACCAGATTTTGGGTTGAACTTAAGTGGCAGATTTGGAAAATTACTCTGGTAAACATTTCTGGCTACGCGATAGGAGCAAATCTAGGTCAGATCCAGGACCTCAGTGTATTATTTTACCTTTTTTGGAAATATAAAATGTTTTGAGATTGAGATGTTTAGAGAAATACACACTCACATCTCTAGATATGAAGTTACAGCCAGCATTCAGTTAGCTTAGCTTTGTGCAGAGACAGGAAATGGGGAAACAGCAAGCCTTACTCTTTCCAAATCCAAATCTGCACCTCTGAAGTTAACAGGTTAACATGCTGTGATCCAGTTGTTTAGGGTTTTAAACAATGAGTAATGTGTTCATAAAATGTGACTGTGTGATTGTCTGAGTGGGTTTTCTTCTACCTACCTGCTGAAAACCAAATGTCAAACGTGCTCTTTCTCTTCCTAAGCAGAAGAAACTGGCGTGGACTTGGGCCAAAAGAAAGACTCATATTTCTACACCTGTTGTCACAACAACTGATGTGGAGCAACATGAAGGAAACAGAAGTGGCCACCGTCTCTCAGCTGGAGTCAAACCTGGCTGGGTGTCGGATATCTCCGCTTTGGATCTGGAATCCAAATCACAGAAGAAAAAGAGGTCAAACAGTGCTGTTCTTTGTTAGATATGTTTATTTCTTTTGTGCCATAAGGACAAAAGGCTGCAAGACTATGGAGCAGGATTTGCTACAGCTGCGACTGTTTCTGGGTGGGGAGGGATTTTAAAAACCAACACTTCCACGTTTCACTCAGTTATGTCCTGTGTTATATCCCCACATCAGCTGGTCACTGTAGCTCTGAGCTGGACCGCACCATAGAAGTGAACATGAAGTTTAAGTGACCTGCAGTGGCGAGGAAGTTAAAACAGTGCTACAGGGTGGTGAATGGTTTGTTTACAGCAGTTCATTTTTGTTTACATCAAACTGTTATTAAGCTTGTAGTGGAAACCAATCTGTCAGGCCTGCACATCTTTAACAATGCCTACATGAATGGAGTGAAGATGAGGATAAATGACTCGAGTCCTACTTCACTGAAATGAACCTTAACGAAACATTTGCAAATCTGGTATAACTTATGAATGAAAGGATACCAGTGATCTTTATCAAGGCCTTTATATGCGTAGCAGAAATGACAGGACGATGCATGTGTCCAAAATGAGCTTTCTAGAGCTTTGGCTCGTTACTGTTTACCACAGCTTTTACCACGTGACAGTCATGGATGTAATAAGAGAGCTGACGCTGATCAGTCATGGAGCCTTCCTGTTAATTTCCCCCCTTTGGCTGCTTGTGACACTGGAATGAAAAAAACCCCGAGGGTTATTAAAGAGATGTCTGTCAAACTGTGGACAGGGCACCCACATCTGCAAACAAGTTCAGTTCAAACAAAGTCAAACGCTTCGTATTAAGACTTTTTAAACCACAAACCTTAGAAATATTTAAAAATCTTTAAAGCTGTTTGGTTGATGCCCTCACAATGTTACGTCTATGGGGTCAGGGAGACACACACTGATACTTGAGCACAGGGCCCAACAACACAGACACAAACCAGGAAGTAAAGTTTTTCTCTAACATAGTCCGGCTCTTATAATACATCCATGCTGACTGTATGTACGACACACACCTAAGTTATCTTTGGCAGCATAAGCTAAGCTGACCGGGACAGTTTTCTACATTCAAACGCTACATTTTCTATTTTGTACTTCTGAATGGATGGTACACATTTAGAAATATGACGATTAAATTCATTTCTGGTAGTGAAACGTTGCTTCAAAACTCCACCTCTACAGAAATGAAGATTATCAAAGCTCCCTCTGCTGTGATGAGAAACCACAGATTTAACCAACACAGGAAGAAGCCTTGTGGCTGAATGTTGTGATATTGTACAAACGGTCGTCTCTCAATGTTCTCAGAACAGCATCTACAGCTCTATTTAAGACTCAAGCTACTAATTTATTGCCTTTTTAAATTTGTGCTGCCAGATGTTGGAAAATAAACAGACATCATCTCAGTTTCCTCCATGTTGCTGCTTTGATGTGTTCATGTTCTGTGTGTTGATTTTTTTTTTTTATGCACAATATTTTTTATCAAAGGTTGTTAAAGAGACTGGTGTAAAATACAAATGTTCTGTAAAATTAAAAGGTTATTGAAAGAAAGTTGCTCTGATTGAATCTAAAGTTTTACAGTAATTGATCCCCAATTTATTTTATGCTAGTTTATCTGTTAATCAGCAGTTTCATGCATTTTTGTGATTAAAAAGGAAATATGTTTATTTATTAAAGGTAATAAAAAAATATTAGAGGTGATTTAAATAGGTCACAAAAAACAACTCTCAAACCAGCTCAACTGTCACTGGAACAAAACTAAATAAATAAGAATAACTTAGTCATCTTCCCCTCTAATTCAAAGTGATACAATATTACTCTATATAAGTAAGCTGAAGTGCAGTATAGTAGATTTTCTGTACAATTAAAAACAAACAGGTTAGATAGACTACATTGAAAGTACAGGGCCAAAGGAAAGATATGCAGCTGAGCCATATAACATAGTGCTGCAGTTGGACGCCTCAGCCAACCATCGAGTTTCTACGTATGTTTTACTTTCCTTTACCTTTGACCACTGAAATCTACACAGTTAATGTTTGAGTCCAATTGACAACGGATCAGAAGCTGAAGATATTTCCCCAGGGCATTCTTGAGATCTAACTGATCTGTGTAGGAAGCATGAGACAAGGACAAAGTGCTTATTTTATAACTTCTTCTTCTTATATATTTATATAGCAGTTTAACAGGTCAATGGTTGAGATCTAACAGGTCATAATTACACTGGAATGAAACATTGCTTGTTGGGCAACTGTAAAAAGGCATTAGTAGGGGAACATGGCTCTCACAGGGGCCAAACCATTCTTTCAAAATAGCTCCAAAGAAAAACACTCTAAGGCATTGGCAGATAACACACAGACGATATTAGAAGCTTGAAGAGTGAAACACGTGGCAAGAACACATACAGAAGTGCAAGCATCATGGCAGCAGTCCGTCGTTTTTCGGTTTCTGTTGGGTCGTTTTTTTTTTTTAGGGAGAGTGATTTGCGAGGGCACTGTCACCCACTCACCCTCTTTGTGCGTCACAGAATAGTTTATAAACTTTCTTCAGTCCACTCTGCCTCAGCCATGGAGCTGCTAAACAACATCCTGGTTTCTTTTACGTTACAGTTTAAATAATGTCTTTCCCACCCTGACATGAAGACTCAGTCTAACACTTTTTTTGGCATGACATTGTATAGAGAATATTTCCTCCTCGTTCTGGCCACTGGCAGCTTCGATCCAAAACCTACAACTATCACATTTTCCTTGACGATCTGATGTTTAAGCACCATCTAATGATCTGAGACGTCCAGAGGAACTGGAGGTGAAGTGGAGACTCCTGCGTGAGGTGCTTTATTGTAGATTGAAGTCACTTGAGCCTGTATGTGTCCAATAAAACCCATATTTCACATCACTGAACTAAAAGTCCAACAACACATTTCAGTCCAGTCGAGGCTCGACACGTTTCATTTGGAGCGATGGTCGTGTCTGAAAGCACAAACAGACTGCAACTGGTTTATTTACGGACAAATCCATGCTTTTTTTCCCGTGCTGAGGAAAAGTCATTTACCAGATGGGGGCGCTGCTGTGACTCTGTCTGTGATCATCGTGTCTCAGGTTTCATGGGCTGTAGATTTTTGCTCCACCCCGACAGTGAAGTCTTTTCTTACACTAAAACACTGACACACCAGATACAACAACTTGTCTCCAACTACGTTAAGCTTTTGTGGGTCGACTCAGCTGACGTACAGTAAATGACACCTGAACTACTACTCAGAGGGAAACAAACCAGCGGGTAAAAGTTGGTAAAAAAACGGGAGAAAACATCCGAGTGGAATATGTTCACAAACACCACGTTTTACGCTCCAGATAATTTTCTATATCGGATCTCACATGTGAAGGTGCAGCCAGTTTGTGCAAAGTCACTGTGTCAGGAACCATCTCTACAGCAGGTTACATGCACCAAAGTCAGCGAGCGTAGAGTGAGTCCCTTTCCTCCGTACACTCACCTGCTCTCCGGATTCAAACAGTGACAGACTGGGCTACTTTAGTAATGTGACTGATTGATCGCCATTTGTTTCCGTCTGCCTGCTCTGCCTCCATGTCCTGTGCAACTATAAATAATAATCCACTACATGTCATACATGTCACTCTTCCTCCTCCTCCTCCTCCTCCTCTTCCTCCTCCTCTTCCTCCTCGTCATCTTTGATTTCCAGGTATTCCTCCTCCTCCTCCTCGTCCATCACTGACTCTCCATCCTCTTCATTAGAATCTGATTTCTGCCTCCTCTCCTCAACCTCTTCCACTAACTCCTCCTCCACCTCTGCAAGCTCGTCCTCCTCGTCCTCCTCATCCTCCTCTTCCTCCTCCTCTTCCTCCTCTTCTAAGACGTCCCTCTCCTCCTCATACGAAGAGATGGGCGAATAGTGCGGCAGGTCGAACACCTGTGGGCTGCTGGGAGCATCAGAGCTGCTCGGGTGAGGAGGTGAAGCGGCAGGAGCGGCGACGGGAATGGTGATGGGCACCGGGATGGAAAAGGCAGGAAATGACTCGGAAGCACACGTGTCAGCGCTGGTGCTGATCTCCTGGACCCTTCTGACGGCCGGGTTCAAAGTGGTGGTTGCGTTAGGCGCGGCAGAGGGGATGACGGCCATGCCCAGGCCTGAGGTCAGGGCTCTCGGTTCAGGCGTGTACTCCCGGATCTCTCCCGGTTCCAGCGGGTCAGGCCCACAGGGGTCGTGTTCGCTGCAGCACAGTTTACCATCCAGCTTGGAGATGAAGAGCAGACCGTCGCGGTGCTGGCTGCAGTAAGAACTAGGACACATCTCACAGAACGACGCTGCGTCTTTACCGCATATGTCGCACTGGTGCCATGGACATTCCCAGCGACCTGCAACGATGATATAGGCACAGACAAGAATGTAAAGGAGGGTACAATTTTAAATACAAAGATAAATGTAATAAAACATGATACAATTAATTAAAAACACACGAGTGCAGAGTCACTGACCTGCTGGCCTCTTGGTGAGGTTGAGGCAGTCAGCGTGGTAAACCTTTGGACATCCAGGTCTCTTACAGGAAACCATCTGTCCTCCATCTCCACAGCTGAAACACTCGTCCTCTCTTTCTTTGGCCACCACCACCTTCTTCTTCCTCTTGCCTCTTCTCTTCAGCTTCCGACCTTTGTCCTCAGACGGAGGGTTGTTCTGGTTGCAGAGGACAAAGGAGTTGATTAATAGCTGTACTTGTATTGTGATTTTTCTTTATAAGTCCAGAGAATTTTTTTATCTCTAATTCACATCTCACTACTGGGACATTTTTTTTCCAATGAACTTCCACCACAATGAATTGTTAACCAATATATCACACTGAGTGGTATTTATTTTGTGTCATCGCCATCACCTTTGGCCTGACGCCCAGGAAGCCACTGCAGTTTGGTGCTCCACACTTACAGACCGTCTTCCCGTTGCCCAAACACTCCAGGTTGTAGTTGAAGGTGAGTTCAGTGCCTGAACAGACACACACGAAGATTTGATTCTAGCGCCTCATAGTCGTTTCAGTTAGAAATACAATCAACTGCTTGCACAGCGATGGTTGAAAAGATAGGGTTGTGAAGTTTTTTGTGTGTACACACAATGAACATGACAAACCACAAAAAACAATATTAATATTTCAAGAATAATGAAATTAAATATCTTTATGAACACCCACACATGAGGTTCCATCATTTTCTTGTTTTCTGAAATCAGAGGTTGTTTTTCTCAAAGTGGATTTAACAAGTGGAATGAGGAAGACTCCAGAGTTTTAACCTGTAGATACTCAGCGTTTATCTAATGTTTCTGAATCAAAAGCATCATCTCATTTCAATAGAATTAATTGGCAGCTGTTGATCAAACCACTTGTGAAAAGTGTTTGTGATGTAGATGAAGCAGCACGTACCTGCAGCTACATCGACAAGAGCGAAGAGTCCCACCCTAGTGTCTCCGCTCACTGTCCACTTCTGGGTCTCACAGTTTGGCTGACAGCTGTGGTTCATGAAGCGAGCCTCATTCCCCTTCGGCCCGGCATCAATGATCCGGTCCTAATACAAACACACACATAAAAAAACCCACAAGTTTAGCATGTTTGAAACAACTTTCCTTGTGAAACTCACACACAAACACACCGTACCTTGTCTAGAGTTAACATGTAGAAGTTACAGATGTCGTTCTCCTGCGCGTGTCTGATCCTCGACCTGCACTCCTCCTCATCAATCACCTCCCCGACGTACTCGCTCACAAAATGACCCTGAGAGAACAACACAGGACGCAGAACGTTCATTATTTAGCCTGAGTCAGTCCCACTGAACAGCAGTGTTGAGCAGTACAACAGTAGAAGTATCAGTGTCAGTAATTAGAACCATTAGTAGTGGTACTACCATTAATGAGTGTTGTATTTACCTTCTTGATGTCATGGACGCAGCGGAGCCCCCAGCCTCGGGATAGTGTTCTGTAGATCTCCACCTGGCTGTACTGGCGCTTGGTGAACGCTTGGTTGAGGCAGCGTTCACCTGCCGGGCAAACCTGCAGGTTCAGAGGGTCGACATCCAACTGGAATTACCACCTTGTGGTTGTATGCCTCCATCGACCAGTGCAGTTTTCGGTCAACATAATTTTTTTTAAGTGACCTTTCACCTTTGGCAACTGAAATCGAATCATTTAATCTTTGAGTCCAAGTGACAACCGGTTAATTTAAAGAAATTCCCTAAAGACAAACCTGAGATATCATGTTCAAAAGGCCAAAAACAGGTTTGGTGAGGCTACCGTGACCTTTGACTATCAAACTCAAATCTGTGAGTCTGTGTGAACATATGTACCAAATTTGAAAGGATTTTCTAATTCTAATCGGTTCGTCCTTGAGTCCAAGTGGATGTTTGTGCCAGATGTACTGAAAGTTCCAACACATCGCACTGACAAGAATAATCGGACGGACAACCCAAAAACACAATATGAAGACAGAAGTAGCAGAGAACACAAAGAAGATCACAACAGTCTTCACCATGTTCTTACAATTTTACTTTACTGATGTGTTATG